GGATGTCCGTGATGTCCTCCGGCACATCCGAGCTGCTCGCCACTGCTGGGAACAGCAAGAACAAATCCCAAAGAGTCAATGCCAGCTCTCCTGTACCACGTTCACAGCAAGGGATCTGGGGTGAATGTTGGGTTCCCATTGTAAATCAGGACAGGAGAGGTAACTGTAAATCCCGGGATTCAAACCCCAAGCAACACGCAGTGAGAACAGTGCCAGAACAGGCAGAAAGCCTAACTGGAAAGACAGGCGCACCAAACCCAGCTGCCTGCTGTGTGCTGTACCTCTCTTGGGTGCTGTGCCACACTCCTGGCTTTCCACGTGGCTGCGCTTCAGAGGAAGGCCGCTGGCATCAGCTTCTGACAGGAAGGAGACAAGAAAGACACGAAGAGCATCTCTTTGCAGCCCTTTCCTCTGCCCTCCATCACAGCAGCCCTTCATGCAGCCCTGTTTAGAGGCAGTGCCCACACCGCAGCTCACAGGAGCTTCTTACCTGCGGAGGCTTTCCGTTTCCCCCCTTGCCCCGCACCGTCCCACAGACGCACAGCTTTTGTCCCTACAACAACAGATGCTGTGTTGATGTCACAGACGCCAGCAGGCAGCACAAGTATCGTCCAGTGAGCCCATGTCCCCCCAGAAGACAGAAAGATGCTGCTTTGACAGCCCAAACACAACTGGCAGCTCACTTCTCACTGCCCCTTCCTGCACTCCCGACGGATGCTTACTTGACATCGCCTGCAGCGCCGCAATCTTCAGCTGCCTGGATTCCTGAGTTCTCCTTTTGGAGAGGAACCCTACAGAAAGCATCAACAAGGGAAACATCACGAGGAAGAAGCATTTTCCCAGCTTTCTTCTGCCATGCGATGTCGTCTCTTGAGGAAGCAATGCTTGGAGGTCAGCTGGCTGCAAGAGGCTCTGCCTCTGGCTTTGGGCCCTTGGCCCGGTGCCGGCCTCTGCCTCTGGCTTTGGGCCCTCGGCCTGGTGCCGGCCTTTCAGGACTGGCTTTAGGCTCCACGGCCGCTGCCAGCCTGCCCGGCTGTAGGTGTGGCTGTCAGCCCCGGCTCTGGCGCTGCCCCTGTGGCTGTAACCGCGGCATTATGGCCCAGGGCTGGTGCTGGCTCTCTGGCTGGAGCTTCAGACTTCAGGGCCGGCTCTCAGGCTGTGGCTTCAGGTCCCTTGGGCCGCTGCCAGTCTCTCTGGCTGTGTGTTTCGGCCCCAGGGCCACTGCTGGCTTCTCTGGCAGCATCTTTAGGCCCAGGCCGTGTGCCAGCCTCTCTAAGTGGGGGCCGTGGCTGTGAGCCCCTGGCTGGATGCAGCCTTTTGGGCTCTGGCCCAAAGTCACCAGGCCTGGTACCAGATTGTGAGAAAACAGGGAGCCCTTGTGGATGGTGGTGGTGCCTGGGGTTCATGCGCTTTTCCGTCCCGGCCCCTCCAGGCGTTCGGCTGCCACGGGCGATGAGGGCAGCAGGCTGCTGTGCCGGCTGTGTCACAATGGGCTGGCAGCAGCGCCACGGCAACGTTTGTGACACGGCCGCCCAGGAGGGGTCTGAAGGCGCTGCCTGGCGGAGGGTCCCACATCCCTGAGCATCTGGCAGAGAGCAGACGCATCTCTGTCAGCTGAAGGGACGAGCATCTCTGTGCCTGACGGACGGAGGAGCATCTTTGTGCCTCATAAGGGGACGAGCATCTCTGTGCCTGACGGACGGAGGAGCATCTTTGTGCCTTGTAAGGGGACGAGCATCTCTGTGGCCTGACGGACGGAGGAGCATCTTTGTGCCTCGTAAGGGGACGAGCATCTCTGTGCCTGACGGACGGAGGAGCATTTCTGAGCTTTGTAAGAGATGAGCATCTCTGTACTGGACGGACGGAGGAGCACCTCTGTGCCACAGGAGGGGATGAGCATCTCTGTGCTGGATGGGCGGGAGGAGCCACTCTCTGCCAGACGGCCGGAGGAGCTTCTTTGTGCCGGATGGGCGGAGGAGCCGCTCTCTGCCGGACGGATGGAGGGGCTTCCCTGTTCCACATGGGCAGACGACCAGCTCCGCGTTGGACGAAGGGACGAGCCCCCATGCGGCTGTTGGCGATGCCGAGCATCCTGCTGCAGAGAGGCCAGCCCAGATCACGTTCTGGGAGGACGGCCCCGCCACACAGCGTGACTACTGCAATGCCGGAGGTCACCGCCAAAGGTACGCGGGCCCACAGCTGGCGCGGCGCCAGCGCGAGGGCCGCCTCCGCGTGGGGCCGGGGACGGCGACGACGCTTCGTGTCTGCCCCCTCCCCTGCTGCTGCGAGGCTGGAGGAGCGCCGGGAGGCGGCAGCAGCAGAGCGTGACCTGCTTTTCCTTTGCCCTGCAGTGCGATTCGCCGTCTGGGACGCGGTGGCCGCCTGCATCCAGGAGCGGCTCCTGCTGCGCAAGGTGGGTCGGCGCCTTCTTTCCGCTCGGCTGCCTGGAGGGGTGGGGAGTCCCTCGCCTTGGGCCGCTGAGCGCAGCGACTCTTCCCCTGTGCCAAGGCGGGGAACTCGGCCCCAAAATGCCCCTAAGGCAGCAGCGAGGCTCCCGCAGCGTGGTGTGACGTGCGGTGCGGCGCGTCGGGGCTGAGCCCAGCCTCTAGGAACCTCTGGCTTCCACAAAGCTGCCGCTGCCCTGGCTGCTGCGCTGCGCTTTGGCAGGGAGAGGGAGAGGAGCGGGGCGGCCCTTCCCAAAGCTCTCCCGCTGCCCCGGCCTGAGCTTCCAACCAGGGGCAGGGGGCACGGCGGGACCCGAGGCGCAGTCCCCGACAGGGCGACCTCCAGCTCTTCGTCCGGCCTTAACCCTGCGGCCCTTCCCTTCTCTCCCACGCGCAGGATGTCCGAATTCCCACGCTTCGGCACCTTCAGCATGGCCTCCAGCGGGTTGAGGCCGAGGATGGAGCCGTGACTCTGCAGTGGCCCGTGTTCCGCCTGGCCAGGAACCTCGCCAGCAGCCGGAACCTGGTGGAGAACGAGGAGCACCTAACAGGTACGAGGGGGCTTTCGCCCTTCCTTGCTCTCGCCTCCGTGCCCACAAGCAATCCGCCCCTCCTCGGAGCCCAGCCAAGTGTGGGGCTGTCCTGGCCGGCGACGGCAACGAGTCGCGCTGGGGAAGCAGCGGCGGAAACGGAGCCTGAGACTCTTGTGATTTTCCAGGCCATAAGGAGGTGGAGCCCCTCAAATACGCAGAGGTGGCGGCGGCGCGTCGGTGAGCCGTGAGATCGGGAAGGCGTGCATATTGGACACCACGTCCTTCGTCTGCCACTGCTTGAGGGAAGGGGGAGGACGTCACCTTTGTCCTGAAGGACGTCGGAGTGCTCCTCATCCAGGGAACCGGCGTCCAGATGAAATTCTACTACGACTTCCTGGAGAGCGTCAACGGCCAAGAGAACCTGCAGAAAGTTGTTCTCAAGGTGAGCTCTGGGTTTCCCCACGGCCCTGGCGCTGCCCGCAGGCGGCTCACCAGGACCGCGCGAGTGCTGCGCTGCTGCCGGCTCTCCTGGCCTCGGCTGCTCCAGCGCTGCGCAGAGCCTCGGCCGTGACCAGGATGTCCCCCATCCTGGCCGTTGCTCCCCCACAGGTGCCCTGGCTGCTGGACATGGTGGTTGTCACGGGTGGCGACTGCGGCCTCCCTGACGTCCTCCGGCCGAGCCGTCGTCTTTCCCAGGTGAGTGCGTTTGTGGCTGCAGCCCCGCTTGGTGCGGCTGCTCAGGAGCGTCGGCTCCTCGGCGCCGTCCTGGGGACCACGGGCCACAAAAGCTGGGAGAAGGCATGGAGACGAAGGCACGGAGGCGACGTCTCCATCCCCCCGTGGCCTGGGTGACCCCCGGTCCCCAGGACGGCCCTTGGCTCTGGGGCTCGCTCAGGTCCGCTGTCAGCCTGCGATCCAGCCGGCAGCGAGGGCAGCCGGAGCCCCGGCTCACAGCGCCTCTCCTTTTGCACAGCTTCAAAAGGGAGTTTGCACCCAGACCACCGGCAGGGAAACCCCGCAGGGCATCCAGAGCGCCGCTGCCAGCCCTCGGCCGGGACAAGAAAGGTAAAGCAGCTGCCGGCCCCTCGGTGACCGGAAATCCCCCATCCGCCATCACCCAAGGAAGGCTCTGACTCGGTGAACCATTCCCAAGCGCCGGCCCGGCGCCGCCGCCTCCCCTCCTGCCCACACGTCGTCCTCATCCAATCCCAGGCGCCGGGTGCAGCGGCCCCGCAGTGCCCCCATCCCCGGGGATGGCAGGGGGGGTCCAGGCCCAGCTCTCCCCCAGCCGCCATGAGAGGCTGTGGCCTGGCAGGCAGCGCCCAGCTCCTCTTCCCAAAGCAGAACCGTCAATGCGGCCCCCGAGCAGAGCTGCGCCCCCGCAGAGGAGGAGCTGGGCACCAGGCACAGGGGGCCCGCGGTCTCTGCGTCCATGAGGGGAGCAGGGCGGCCTCTGGGTGCTCTGGGACAGGGCTGAGCGCCCCGCAGGTTCACCCGCCGCTCTCCCCTGACCAGATCTCTCCTTCCCCATTGCAGGGCAATGTTCTGAGCTGCCGCCGCTGCCCAGCTGGATCCACGTCACCTTTCTGGTGGAGAAGCCGCCCGAGGAGGCGACACCAAAGCAAAGGAGCCGCGTCCAGAAGAAGGCCAGGTGAGGCTGCAGGCTCAGGGCTGGGATCTGTTTCCCCAGGCTCCCGGCTCGGGGTTGCAGCATACGGCCCCAAAGCCGTCACCACTCACAGAGCCCCTCCTGCTCTGTCCTTCCAGGCAGCCGCCAACCATCTCAGAGGTGTCTGCTGCCAAACCAGAGGAGAAGAAGGGAAAGAAGGGCAGCAAAACGCTCTGCCAAAAGGGCGGCTACAGCAAAGATGGATCCGGCACAGGCGGCACGAGATGCAAGCGGCCAGGAAAAGTGGCGCAGCGTGGCGAGCGTGATGGAAGCCAGAGCTGGAGGAGCAGTGCTGGATGAGGCACGGGCCGAGGCCAAGCCCAGGCGCCGCCGCGCAGCCCCGGCCCTGCAGCAGACGCCGCTGGTGGCCCTGTGGTCCCGCAGCTCCGACAGCAGCCTGCTGGGGGGAGCGCAGCCGCAGCGCCTTCCCCTGCGGTGCCACCGGCGCACGTGGGGGTCCGGATCCACGCAGGGGCCGGCCGCCGAGGGGGCAGCGCGGGGCTCCCCGTGTGGGAGGCCGATCTGTCGGCGCTGAGCGGGGCGCCCAGGAGAAGCGGAGCTCCAGGCAGGGCGCACGATTCCCATCCGCCCAGATGCGAAGCCAGGAGCTGCAGCTGTACGGACAGCCGGCTCGAGGCCTCGGCATCCGAGCTGTGCCTCCGAGCAGAGCCGACCCGGCCTCTTCTGCGCTGACAACCCGCTGTGCATCACCGCTGCCATCGGCCCAACAACAGCCTGATGGCCGCCGCCACACACCGACATCGGAGCTGCGAGCCACGCTGCAGGCCGTGGTGGGGGCACAACATCCTGTCGCTTTCAATTCCATCTTTTCCATCGCCCGTCTGCCCCACCACCTCCCGAAACACCTGGGGTCTGCAGCAATAAAACAGACGGGCTGACATCAAACTGCTGTGTCTGCATCTCTCCTCAGCCGCGTGCATGTGGGAAGGGAAGGGGAGGGGAAGAAGGAGGGGAAGGGGAGGAAGAAGGAGGGAAGGGGAAGCGGAAGTCGAAGGGGAAAAGGGAAGGGGGAGGGGAGGGAGGGGAGGGAAGGGGGAGGGGAGGGGAGGGGAAGGGAGGGGAGGGGAGGGGAGGGGAGGGGAGGGGAGGGGGGGGAGGGGAGGGGAGGGGAGGGGAGGGGAGGG